AAACCAAAAGAGAAGACCAAGTACAAAACAATCTGACCAGTGGTTAGTAAACAGGAAGAAGATTTCAGAAGAATGTGTTGCGATATGTGTCCAAGACGGGTACAGAACCTAAGCAGAAAAATCCATATAACATAAACCCAAAGGTGTCACCATAAGAGTCCCCCTCGGGATGTCATTAAGAGGTCATCTGGTATATCACAATCAACAGGAGGCAATTTAATTTTTAAGGGAGGAATTCTTGATAGTAATCATTGCATGCATCTGGAATAATAATCATCTAGAAATAAATATTCGGTAAAATAATCATCTGCAGCAGCAATACAGACATTCATTACACAATACTACCAAATAGGGATATCAAATTTTGGTTTATCATAATGTACATACCATCCTCCAGAATACATACCTGTAGTCAAAATAATGATGCAGATTATCCAAAGCAGAAAGGAAATCGTCATGGTAAAGCCCATTCAAGTACCGCAAATAGTATGCCTGTATGACGAAATAAAACACAAATTTGAAACTGGCACTACGTTATGCATTAGGTATAAATGGAAAATTAATTAGGAAATAAGTTACAATTAAACAAATCAAAAACGCATTAATGGGAAACAAAAATGCATCTACAAACTATAGAACTTACACGATGCAGCTCTGGCGCCAGCTTCTGAAGCTCCTTTAGGATGGCTTCAAAAGCATTCATTGGAAACAAGTTGGGATGCCTGCCAAAAATTCAATTGAACTCAGTCATATTGTCCTAATCCACACAATCAACTAGAAGAGTCCCTACCTCTCAATGAGATCAGCTTGGTCCCTCAAGTAACCTTGCACTTGCCAATTTGTACGTAAGAAATCATAATGGCGATTATCATCTCTTGGTACATCAATAACTGGGCATTGATCTAATTCATCATGGGCACCATCCTCATCGTGGCTGTATTGGGAATCCATAGGATCCGGTACATATGACGCTCGTCTTCGGCCTGCTCCTATTATAACAGGAGAAAAGCTCAAACTTCATGACCAAAACTAAAATTATAAAGCTCAAATAATCAATAATCAAGCACTCATAGAGTGGGAAAAAAAAACAGAAGCCGCCATTCACATTAGATGCCCACAGTATCAATTCAGAGTTGCCGCTCCAGCCATAACTACGATCTCTACATCAAAAAGAAAACAGCAGCGTGGATCTCTCAACAGCCAAAGATTGGCTCATGGGAAATAGGATGAGATTAAAAAGGGACCTAGATAAGGCTCGTTATTAAATATATTGTATAAAAAAGAGACCTAAAAACCCTAGATAAGGCTTGTTGTTACTATACACAGCCTGTTTTTACCGTCCCAAAAATGTTAGAGACCCTAACACCCTAGGCCCTTTTATGATATTATAACATAAAAAGACTAAAACTGCCACTAATTGAGTTAAAACATTATAAAAATTCCCCATAAGTTCCTGCACTTAAGTTAAAACATAAAAGATCACTAAATTGCCCAAATTTAATTAAAACACTGAAAATCGTCTAAACTACTCGAATGACTGTCCGGTGCATCATTTTCCCCACGTTAGGAAGAACGCAACCTCAAGTTTGGCTCTTCTTCCATTGTCCGTGGTACTCGAAAAGATCAACAACATTGAACACATTTGAGGTCTCAATCTCAGCTGAAAAGTCAAAGGTTAACATTATCAAAAAAAAAATCTCAGCTGAAAAGACAATCTTATAGGCATTACTCCCCATCATCTTCATCACCCAAAATGGTACCATACTCCGATTTTCCTGTCATTCACATGTTGTATTTGCCGATAGGATGCCTATTTCTTTGTAGATAAACCATCACCAAATCTCCCACATTACCAAGACTTGAGAACAAGGCATGCCATGTTACTACACCACCCATAGACATTTGATCAACCATGTTTTGAGCCCATTGAGAACTGCCATAGTAGTACATAAGCACAATATACTTCATCCTAAACACATGAGAAAATACTCTACCATGAACTTTGAAGCAGCTCAAGATTAATTATGTGTTGCCCCCATGATTTCCTTCAACTTGTCTCTGCTCAAAAAAAACAAAAGACTGAAGTTGAACTCCAACATTAGGAATCACATAACCAACCATTGAATGGGTACCTTGTATATTTACCTCACTAGCAAAAAGCTCATTGGAAAATATCACCAAACCCATGGGGCAAACCTCACATGGTACCCAATTTTCGGGCAAGACATTAAGAATTACAAAATACTTATTGCCACCATCATCTCCTTGCTCCTTCTTGCCTTACCCTGTTGCTCTCCTAGATAATATCATCCATCAAATCATCATCAAATATAGGACCCTCATCAAAGATGGAATCACTATCAAAGATGGGATCACCGATCACCATCTCCATCAATAGGTTCCTAATCAAACAATGGATCACGCATGAAATCACAGTAATAATTAAGGATTTGGTGAAGAAAGTCCCATTTAAGTTCCTCGTCTACTATTCTAGGTGTAATTATGCTACACCGGATCATCAAAGCCTCCCCAAACACTTACACAACTTGATGTTGCTAACTACACAACTTTTGGGTCGCCCAACTGCTGAAACAACCCCTTTTTGGTCCAGGTCAACTTGCTGGTTGGACATTCCAACAGTGCAAGATGTCGAACGAGCACCCGTCATGCTGTCTTTTCTTCCAAAATCACCATCATGGGCTGCTGCCCTATTTTCCCCATCAGTCACACCCGCATGATTCATCCCTCTTTGCATGATTCATCACCATGGACTGAGATTAAACCCTCTTCCTCTTCCAAAAATCACCACCATGGGCTGAGATTCAACCCTCTTTGCATGATTGTAGACATCATCAAAGGTCCAATACCGCTGCAAAACTACCACATTTTGAATGGATTTGCCCAGTCCATTCACACCAGGCAATTGACTACTCTTGCTCGATCACATCACTACTAACAGTCAAAAGATTAAACTCATTTGTGTATTCATCCACCAACCTATATCCTTGGCACAACGCATGCATCTTTTGATACAAAGATTGTAAATAATTTTCAGCGAGATATTTATCCTTCATATTTTTCTACATCTTCTCCCGCGACACAATTTTAGATTTTTCCCATACTTTCTCGCCTTGCTCTCAGTTGTTCCCACCATAACGAATACTTTTTTTATAATGTAATAATGGCAATAATTTAACCCTTTTATTCTCTGGCACATCCTTTTTTTTCTTTCTGTTTTTTTTGGGTAGATTCTCTAGCACATCCTTGTAATCAAATACCCTCTCTATTGTGTTTAATCAGTCTATAAAGTCCTCAGTCTGCGACTTTCCTTCAAAATCAGGAATATCTACTTTTAGATCAATGGATTTTGAGTGCCGCTTATACATCTGATCATAATCCTTTTCACTCGCCTCATCCTGCAGAGCGTGATCCTAAAAAAGGGTTGTAATCAACATCCTCTTGGACAGACAAAACTTCATCTTGCCACGATCAATGTCAACAAGCCGCCTTGAAAGTTCTTGTCGTCTCGACCTCACTGCCATAGGTTCACCAAAATCATAAACCCCTAGGCAAAGAACAAACAAAATTTAACTATAAAACCAACAAGTTCGAAACTAATTTGGCAAAATCAACAAACACTAGACTTGGCTATAGATTCTCAACTTTGTTATTGAAGAAAACCTAGGCTTGGACACTAATTTGATGCACAAAAATATAGAAAAACCACAAGAGGCCTGAGAGGATTTCGCTTCTTTTTTTACAAAAAAGAGACCCTAAAAACCTAGATTGGGCTTGTTGTTACTATTTCACAGCCTGTTTTATTGTTCACGACTCAAACCCTACCATCCTAGGCCCTTTCCTTACAATATAATAAAGACCAAAACTACCCCCATTTTCAAAAAATGCCCCCTAAGCAGCTGGCATGGCACCCAGCACGTAGACAGGCACCCAGAATCGCTGCGCCCTAAACGCTAGAGTGAAAATTATGCAGATATATGCACATATGTGTTGGGTTTTGTGGACTTTAAAGGCCTAGAGAGCTTGTAAAAATGATATTTATAGTACAATATGCACTTCAATTGGAGTAGGTGTGTTGATTGACTAAGGGCTAGGTGGTTTATGGCTCCGGTAATGTCCAAAACTCTTGGCCCTGGGCATGTGGCACTGCTGAGAAGGATTTGCAGTGAGTCATCCTTTGTTGAGATCGGAGAGATGCTCAGCGATTATATTTGTAAGCCAGGAGAACTGTGTGGTCTCCTGTGCGCGGTTGTAGACCTATGAGAGCAAGGGCCAAAGCCTCAACCAACTTCCGTATGACATGTACACATGACTGTTATACGTCATTTTTACATACTTACATCGCTGGGGCAAATAAGCAGAGAGCCAATGACGACCTGGTCTTGCCGACACCTAAGACACCGCCAGATCAAGGGAACACTGCAAAAATAATCCTGAAACTAGGCAACCTTGGAAAGAGTACTATCATACCAAAACGAGATCTTATAACTACAGCCCCATGCTAGGGGCTTGAAAACAATACCAGACCACTGTCATTGCATCCAGAACGTCGAAAAACCCTCAGGGACCAAATTTGGGCTCAATCGGACCTCCCAAGAACATTCTGGGCCCAAATTACTACAAACGGATAGATTTTACACTATTGCGGTGTGGCCTCACCAAACCAGTCCCCAATCATGGAGGTTGCATTCTTCACATCTAGGGATGATCGGCAAACACCCACACGTCGCTCGTTTAGAGTCGAAACAAGCTCAAATTCAAACACAAGCTAGGTCTCGACGACCCGATCATTTTGACATATGGCACGCGTCATCACGTGACCTAGAACCAAAGAATTTTCAGAGAGAAGATGAGCCCGAAACTATGAAAATTAGAGCTTTCAAAGAAAAGACATCTCAAACTTCGTGAAGCAATAACTCGAGATCTATACATCGGATCATTGCAAAGACCGTATCAGAAAGGGCTACAAGATGGTATATCTTTTACACTCAATCTAAGGTCGGATAATCGCAAATTCCAAGGTTGAAGAAAGAAAGATCACCAGGTCGCCGGAATCCCTTTTTCCGACGATCTCCCAAATTCAAAAAAACTTCAAGTAAGAACCAAAACCGAAAAAACTTGGTGCAAAACGACTGTATCAGTCTCCCCTTAATTTGTGATCAAAATAAAGACTCAGAACAGCATGTATCGCATTGCATTGACGGCCAAAGTTCATGATCTAGCCGGATTTCTATCTCTCGAGAAAAAGTCCGTCTATCAAAAGACATCAAACTCTTCAAAATCAAGCAAGTATGAAGACTACGATGATGGATCGTCTAAATAACCGCCACAAGCATCCGAAAAAGCTTCCAAGATCTAGCAATGGCGAAAGGCCCCTCAAAGAGCGATGGTTTCGTCAGTAGCACAAAAGGTTTAAGGAGCGCTCCTAAATTCGGGATTTTATTGTAATTTCTTTTAATTATGATTTGGCTTAGTTTTGAGCATCCACCCCTGTTAGATGGGTCCTCTATATAACCAAGCTTAAGTCAATTGTAAAAGGACTGGATCTTTCATTAACGAAATAGAGGCATTAAGCTTGCATCCACTTGTCTTTTGCTTCTAACCATTGGGTCCAGCGGCGAGGAGAGAGAAAACTTTTAAAGAGAGAAAATACCCCTAACCCATCCTAAGCATGCGGTCCCATTCTCTCCCTCCTCTCAGCCTAAGGCCACGCCTCATGCCCACTCTCTCTCTTTCTCCCATTCTCTCTCCACTCATTGCTCACCCTGCACAGCGATCTAAACCCGCGACAAACATGTGGTCCCATCTCTGTCCCCTTCTTTCTCTCATTCTCGTTGCACTGAAGGACTTGGAGTCGCGGAACCCGCAGTCCCGTCTCCCTTTGTGACTTTCCCCTTTACGATTCAAGCGTAAACACAGCAAACCTCTAGCTCCACACAGCATCACGCTATCCGACACAGGCTCGACTCAATACCCTTCAGTGTCAACCCAAGAGTTCCAACCCTTGGACCATTGCTCCAACTTCCTCTCCGTACAGTCGAGTTGAGTTGTGAGGAACACATACATTCACTCACTTGGGTGGAGTCTTCCTGAGTCGACGGTCAAGAGGGTTCTAACTCTTTAGCTGCTCTGATCGCCCGAGCGCATAGCGTTTGAACGGATAGGGGGATTCTTGTCACTATTTCTCCCCTCATTCTATCTCTTGCCAGCCAGCCCCTCGTTTGAGCAACCATTTATAGAGGAGTATCTACGAATTCACATTGCAGTTTCTAGCATAAGAGAACGGAGCGACGTGTTAAAGCCTTAGGAGAGTTCGTATCCAAACCGAATTGGCAAAGAGCAGGAGGGCTTCGTAACTGTTCTAAGAGGGCGAGATGCCCAAGTGTATCCCCGAACCCCAAACGATGAGGTAAGCGCCTAAACGCGGCCCAATCATAAAATATCTCTTTGTTGGTTCCTATACGCGTTTAGGAGAGCACACGTGCGCACACTCACAAACGTGCAACACGCACGGACCCTCCGCGGTTGTTTAAGAGAGGATTATCTCCAACCATTCATGCGAGGAAAAATCAGGTCCCGACCAATAACAGCCTCATTACTGGGAAGCTGCCCTATAGAGGAACATGTATATATGTGCATAGAAAGAGCTCCCTTTGAACTATGGTGACGAACGTTAGACTTGCTCTTAAAGAGGAGAATTGAAATTTCAAGATCATAGTCCCACTGTTTATTGTCCAATTTTGACAAGCCAATCATGAGCCCCTGCTTTGAGACTGTGGGTCATGGGTCTTTGTTGGGTTAGATAAGAAATTAATACTACATCATGATTTCTGGGGCGAATGGAGTGCCCATAGCATCGTTAATTTTGACCCATTGATACTAGTCCACTCCTAGTATATTTTATTTTGGTATTAAAATGTTTTTATACTTTTTAAATATTGTTCAAATGTTTAATATATTATTTCTGCCGTAAATTTCATCAAAGGGGTATTTATGAAAATTTCAAAATAAAAATAACACATGTGGGACCAAGGATCCAACCCCACATGCGTGTGTTTTGTTTTTAAGTGTGGGGACCACGTGGCACCCCCTAGTGGGCCATGCAAATATTTATTTTTAACAAAAGCTGCATGTTTCTTTTTCAAGGAAAAAGGTAGGCCACACCACCTTTTAAGAAAATAGGGGGCCACGCCACCCTTTAAGGGAGAAAGGAGGGGCATGCCCCATTTCAATTAAATATTTATGGTTCAAATGTTAAATAAGTTAAGATATGACATTTAATTCAAATTAGATTTGGTTTCCTTATGGGAGATCTTGAGATCTAGATAATATTTAAGCTTGTATTTCAAATTTAAATAGGAGTTGGACTTAGGTCAAATTCTAAGGAAATAAGGTTCTTATCTTACCACCCAAAATCATGATGGCTGATTTATGGGATGGAGGGCCCTGATTAAACCTCTCTCACCCCACAGATTTTCTAATTATCCTAAAGGTATAGCTGGAAATTAGATAAGGTGTAGCTGAAAATTACATAAGGGCAATACCTGAAGGAATCCTATTCAAATTAGAAGATAGATTTCTTTCTATATAAAAATCTAGTTTGAACCCCCTCTCTCATTACAAGATCTTTCTCTCCCAAGACTACATCCCCTCCCTCTCTCACGCCACTTTCTCTCTTTTTTTTCCTTCTATGTATCTCTCTCCTCTTTCCCTCATGTCTCTCTCTCTTTTTTCCTTCACGCACAAAAAGGGGAGATCTCTTTCTCACGCCACCCTATCTCTCCCTCTCTCTCCTCTATTTTTCTATTCACGCCACTCAAAGTGAAGGGAAAATACGGTGGCACGTGAAACCCTTGGGCAAAGGTTTGCTGATTATTTAAGGAAGAAGAGGAATGTGCAGCTTATAGGGAAATTGATTATCATGTTCAACCCTAAGGGTTTCAATAACCTTAGTTTATTTTTGAGTTCTCTAAAACCTAGAGAAAGAAGTATTGCCTACAAAGCTTCCCTATCTCAGAATTTTCAGCAACACCTTAAGGAGTAAAAATGCGACATTAGTCAGGAAATCAAGTGGGGTGTACCAAGTCCTGGTAGAATAATTCCAGACATCTTCCAATAAGTCTTCCCAGTAGTTTTATATTAATTTACAGTATTATTTCATATTTTCTGTAAATTTTCAGGAACTTATTTTGTGCTAAAAATTAAGGTGGAAGTTAGTTTAAAGCTCCTAGAGCTTTTACTCTCTTGCCAGTAAAAATAAAGATCCTAAGTTGTATGTAAGGCATTATTTTAATTTTACAGCAACATATTAGGGCTCACGTAAGTGGATTTTACGTATTTTGGAATAAAAGTAAAAGAAAACTTTTGAATTTAATACCTTGCCTTCCACATAGCCACACCTTTCAATATGTATTGTCCAAATGCACAGAATGCATATATTTATGTTACCTTTGCAATTTTTTACGTTTATATGCATTATAGCTAACATTTTTCATACAAACATATTGCACGTTAAGAATAAAAATGTTCAAAACTTCAAATCCTAGAAACATTTAGTAAAAAAAAACTTAAAAATTCCATAGATTTGGAGATTAAAAAAAAAATTTAAGATTTTTTTCCAATATTTTTTGAATTTAGGGATTTAGAATAGCCCCAAAGGCCTTTTGAAAAGAGTGGCTCAAAAATTACCCAAAGTGTCCCCCAGGGTCACTTTGTTACCAAAAAAGGCGCATGACCTAGGCGCCTAGGTCACTTATACTGGAGCCAGGGAGGGTCGTCCAATACTAGGCATGGGCCCTGGGGTCCGCCCGGCCCCTAGGCTCTGGGCAAACCATTTTTTTTACTATTAAAACATTACAAAAATCCCCACAAGTCCCTTCATTTAAATTAAAACATAAAAGATCCATAAACTACCCCCAATTTTAATTAAAACACGGGAAATCAGTAAGAGACTGTAAAAAACAGTAACAAACTAAAAATAAACTCCTTCAAAAGTTCGGCCTTCCCCTCGTAGATCTCCTTGCAACCTTGGGACGCAGATCAACATCAATGTTCGAAAATTTGGCCGCCCTAGGCAGGCGGGCAGCCAAAACGACTGGGCAGGCTCCCTAAGCATCCTTGCTCCTAGGCGGCGCCTTGGAACAAGGTTGATTAATGGGGCAAAGACACTGACGATGCACGTCGATGCTATTTATTCATTTATGTATTGCTCACTTAAATTAATCTCCAAAGTTAACCAAGATTTAACCAACAATAAGCTCTAGGTATCAAACGTTAATCGTGGTTTACAGGTGAGTTGGGCAAGGGAACTATGACTTACATGTGTGTTGTCAAAAATATTAACAATCAAACAAATAGTTACATGTGTGCTGTCAAAATACTATGACTTACACGTGTTGGGCAAGGGAACTATGAATAAACAAATAAATACCTACATGTGAGCTGCTGTTTATAAAAATATTAGGATGGAACTGTAGCCTAAGACATAGCCACATGTAAAAATTTGTTCCTACACATATAAGTTGTTGGAAATAGATAGACATATTAGGCAGTTGTTTATTAAAATATAATAAACAAATAAATACTTACACATGTGCTATCAAAAATACTATGGCTTACACATGTTGGGCAAGGGAACTATGACTTACATGTGTGCTGTCCATGAGATGTGACGTGTGTGAAGCTTCGGAGGCTCATGACTATCTAAGAGAATGTAAGGACACGGGTAAGGGGAGAGTATCGAGGTTTGATCAGCTTGCCTTCGATTAAATTTTGTGAAAGAAAAAGGAAGCATGCGAGGACTGGAGCATGCGCTATGTAACTATTAAGCATGTGAAGAGAGAGGGGGGGTTTGGAATCTTATGTGCTATGTAACTATTAAGCATGCGAAGAGTGAGCGGAGGGTTTGGGGTCTTACGCCTTCTCCTTGGTCCTATGCGCACGCCTAGGCAGCCAAGCCCCCAAACCGCCTAGGCAATTTGGGGTCATCAAAGGATATACTAATTGGGTAAAAAGGCCCATAAGAATTATCTTGATAGTCGAAGGACTGTCTGGTGCATCAATGAGGTTAATCTAACTTTCAAGTGGTGGAACCTAGGTGGCATCTATGTGAGATTGGTCAGTGTATCTATGCCCTGGTAAGGGCCATCCTTTTATAATGGAGCAGCACGGCCTTGAAAGGTGTCACCTCTAGATGCCAAAGTTTTCAAGGAAGAGTATATGGGGGACTGCAAAGGTAGAAAATTCTTATTTTGATTTGTCCTATAATTCCCATACTTGGGAGTGACTCACCTTCAATGAGGAAGAATCTTAATTCTCACTTGGCTAAGGCAGAGTTTTCAAATCATGACGATATGGTGAATTGTTCAGCCATGCAATGGTAAACTCACTGGTAGGACATAATGTCAATACAAATAGAATCAAAACAGTAAGGAGCGCCAGCTTAAGATTCTCCAAATCTAAGCTAAGCTAAGTAGTTCTCACTTGATCGCTACACACATATGTTGTCTGTATATATGGCATGTAGACAAAGACTACACTTTTTTCTGGTTGCATTAACCTTTTTGAATGTAGCCCATCATGTTACATTATATTGATCTTGAAATTTGGTGACCTTAGATGCCAAAATCAGAAAGGGAGTAGAAGAAGAATATTGGGGGAAGCACAAGGACAGAATTCTGAATAAGAATCATCCAGCAAATGATCATAACGGCCAACTTCATGGTTCCTGAAAAGCATGGCATTATGGTAGGTAACACATGTCACTTACAGAACATGAGAATTACAAAATTTATCAGAACATGTACCAGTAGATCCAACACAGCAGGAACCATGTCAACAAAAGCATAGGGCAGAGTCATGATACCTTCAGCTTCATCTACATCAAAATGTAATCTTGGACCACATAAGTGAGCTAAAGCACTTCTCCTGGTACCCCTAGAAAATGATAGCACATGCCTCTGTTTCTCAAAAGCATCAGAATCAAGCTTAAGTTTCTCGTCCTCAGAAAACTCCGAATCATTCTTGTAGTCATCATCATCGGATCCTGACATAGTTTTCTGTCTAGGTGACTCACAAGGAGGCTCATTTGAACATGATGAGAAGACTGGCCTGCAGTATGTCTCGATATTGGTCATCAGGTGGCATAATCCCTACATAAACATTTAGGAATAGATGTTAGTTCCTACATCCCTCATTATTGGAAAAGTGATCTAATTGAGATTTATCAGAAACAGAAAGGGACAAAGATTTAAACAAAAAAGGCACGAATACCAAGGGAATGGAGAATTGCATATCTCAAAAGCAAGGCCATAAAACCAATAAAAATGATAAAACGTAACAGCACCAACCTAGTGTTATGTACTTCTGCTTCTGGAAATGTTCCCACCAAAGGAATCTCAATAAATAAAATGCCATACTAGTGTTTCAAAAAGCGGTAGCGCCTAGGCGGCCAGGGGGTCCAAGCCACCCAGTGCCTAGGCAGGCGCCTAGAACCTGGGCGGCCCAATTTCTATGGACTTAAAATCTTCTAAAAGTACTCTAATAGATTTATAAACAATAAAAAATTAAATCTAATATCAATGGGTGATGCTTAGATCAATTTCTCGTAACTTTGAGAAACCTTTCAATCCAATGGAAATCACCAAAAACTAATTTTTTTGGGGTTTTCTCTCTTTAAAATAGCCTCTAATGGGTTTTAGGTTTCAAATGAACCTAAAACCCACAATTTTGCCCCTTTCGTCTTAAAAAAATGATTAAAAAATGCCCTCAACGAGTGGCATTTCTACCCATAGGCAGGGCACATGCCCTAGCGGCCGCCCAGGGCTGGGCATTGGGCGCCCGCCCAGGTGGGTTCCCGGAAGCCTGGCAGAAGCCCAGGGATTTCCACTTTTTTTTTGCCACCTAGGCCTGTGTGATGCACCCAGGCCTTCTGGACCACCTCTGCGGCCGCCCAAGCGCTGGACGGACCGCTTTTTAAATCACTATGCCAGACAATGTTCACTGCTTAACAGTTTGTCGAGTTGGTTTTAACTAGATAGCCTCTCAAGGAGGTGCTACTAGGTAAGGTGATGGAAAAGTTAATAGGATTATGAGGGTGATCTCTACAGGGCTTATGAGAGAGGTAAAAGGTCGTAATGATAAGGTTATTTTTGAGTTGGAAGTTATGGAGTTCCGCAGTTATGTCTACGTATATGAGTTATTGTGGGACTAAGGACACTATGGTCATAAAACTGTGAGTATGCATTTATTTGTGTGCAAACACTGCATCCTCCCAAAGTTAGAGGAAACTACTCATAGTGATAGTTGTTCCTAGCCCCTCAAACTTTTATTCAAGGCAATAGCTAAAATGGAAAATGCTACCACTGTTATTTAGCCAACAAAAACAGCTGAATCTCGTTAAAATGAAAGCTGCTAATATCAATTAGTCCACTGCCAGAAACGCATGTTGCCACAATGATCAGTCCAAAACCCAGGAACTCTCTGTTATTGAATCAACTTCCTTTTCTAGGCGGTGTTTTAACCAATGATTTAAAAATCGGCGAGTCGAACCGGACTCGCCTGGTTCGACTCGGGAATTGGCATAGGCCGTGCCGGTTCCAACACAAAACTGAGAGCCGCCCGGTTCTAGAGCAGAACCGCCGGTTCCAACCCGATTCTAGAGCAAAACCGCCAGTTCCCAGCCGGTTCTAGCGGTTCCCAGCCGGTTCTAGCCATTTTTTTTAGAGAGAGAGCAAAAACAACATATTTCTTTGAAAAGGAGACAGAGAGAGATTCTAGGGTTTAGCGGGTTTAGCCTGAGCAAGTATCATCGCCATGATGGCTCAAACCTCAGGCAGTCTTCACAGCAGCGGGATCCCCTGCCCAGACCTTCTCTCGGTTCCCAGCCGATTCTAGCCATTTTTTTTAGAGAGAGAGCAAAAACAACATATTTTTTT